AACAAAAATGAGTGCTTTCTACTCGACAAGTGGCAAATCCCTTCCCAAGTTTCACGATACACAGTCATAAGAATGCTTGAAATCCAAAGGGTACTCAAGTACATAAATATATACACCAGTGATCTAAAGATCAAATTCACTCCATCCCTTAACAAGTTGCAACAAACTACCTGCGCAACTAGTCCAAGCTATACGGAGGAAGACAGGCATTCTTTTCCAGCTCACTTGGCACGCGGTGCACAAATGTTATTACCCACGCTACGTTGAGGACGACGTCCGCAGCGTATATAATCCAATGATAAACAAGCCATGTGATATAGGTTTATGTTGATATGTCATGTATAGTGCATTGCAGCATTGTATCGTGACACCTGAGGAGTTATGCAGGTATGCATGTTGCATGTACAGGAGAATTTAATGCTAAGTCACTTTGACATATAAATAGTAGCATAAGATGAGTAATATTAAATCGCAGTATACAGAAAGAGTAAATCACCAGAACAAAGGTGCTACAGGGCACAATTAGCAAAAACATAAAGGCCATCAGTAGCATTAAGAAGAATTGCAACCGAGGGAAAAGCAGAAACAATTCTGGAGGCTACAGGAACGAACACAACTTTAGTAGGAATAACATTTGCTTATACTAGGATCACGTGCTTTTCATTTGCGTTTCCAATAATAACACCACACAAATTCCAAAGCAGAATGTTCAAAACCTAACCTGTTACTAGTTTCAGCTTAGTGGATATTACACTTTTCGAGAAAACAGTGAAAAACCATGGGCAACCTTTTGTTGATCATGCATGATTTCGTCTATAGAACTCTTTTTCCCAAAAATATGTCAACTAACTGATCGTTGGGAATCACCTACATTTCTTGATTTCTTCTAAATGACATCAAGCCAGACGCAATAATTTCAAGGGGGTTTAGTACCACTACTACAAGTACGATCTTTGATCCAAGTAAGCTTTTTGATAATGATTCGGTAGGTCACTTTTGGGATAAATGCAAATGATCCTATTATGTGAAAATTGAAAAGGATTTATCTTTACGGAGTGTCAACAACATACAAAGGATTCTGAGGTAGTTCTAGGATAAGAACCGATCAAATTTCAGCGGCCGATGACTGTAAATGTCAACCGAGTGTATTGCACTTTTGGCCCCACGAAGTTCGCCACTCGTTGCCGGTAAGATGATCGCTCGTCGTAGAGTGTGTTCGGTCACTGCGCGACTGCGAAATTTGGCTCAATACCCAGATATTCAACACTTCGACACAAGATCTAATACATGGGAAACGATGCCGATTCTTACTGCATTCAACGAATATACTGATTACAAATTTTAGGGATGAAGTCAGTCTTGTAAATGACACATTTTAGTCAATAACTTCAGAAGCCGTGGAGTCATCGAGTTGGTTCACTGTTGCACCCGATTGCACTGCACCATTCATAAGCGTTAACAAGGCGTTCAAGATAAGTGTGCAGACACGGTTGGAACTAACCGGATTATTCGGCCATTGAACGAGTCAAGTACATGTCTTCAATCGGGCAATGTGATAGTCTGTATACACAGTTTGTATTGGGATTTTTCACTATGCCTACAAAGAATACCATATGATGAAGATACCAGTACGAAGATATCTTTTATGGTATTGTGAAGATATAACTATTTTGAAGTATATAATTATGGTATTGTAAAGATATGCACTATGGTATTTTGAAGATATCTACATGGTATTGTGAAGATACCACTATAATGAAGATACACATGTATCTACATGGTACTTTGAAGCTGTTAATTGCTCTATATTTGAAGACACCACTATTACGAAGATATGTACATGATATTATGAAGATGTTACATCTAATACATTGTATTATGAAGATATAACTATTATTATGAATTTACATGAAGATACCTGTACGACTATTTATACGAAGATAGCTACATCGTGGTAATGTGAAGATAACACTGTTACATAGTATTATGAATATACCACTATAATGAAGCTGTATGAAGATACTACTATCACAAAGATACAACCCTTCGTGGATTACCAACTACTAGTTTTCAGCTTTCATGCCACTTCTGTGGTTTCCATTAACCGCAAAATATATCGATTGAGTGGGAAAGTATCAACACATGACTTGTGGATTTTTCATGTGCACGAAGCAAGTTTGCTTTAGAATTGGCACAGTGTGCTTTCGTTGCTTATTGATGTAGATGAGATAAGCGATTCTAATGACTTTTATCGCGATATGTCAAAGAATAGTCAAGGTGTTTTTTTTGTTAAAAAATACATGTTGAGAGGCAACTATTGAGAACAGTGCACGGACATAAGGTACGAAAAAGTGTAATCTTGTAAAAAAAGTATTTTTACATGGAAACATGACACAGTCATCCTGAAATGTCGTTGGATAAGGGACAATATCGTTCAATCGTTTTTGGTTCCTTTTGGGGGGAAAGCACTCACGACTTCTTGAAGTTTTGGAAACTATTGTGCACTATGCTTCCCAGATGTGAACTATCGGTACAATGATGTCATGCATATCTTACTCCAAAACCCCTACACTGGCCATTATGTTAGATCATTCATTTCAAAATGACATTCAGCTGCTATTTTTGGTTCTGCATGTATACAGACAGTAACCCACTTTGTAACTTGACGCAGTCCATCAAGACAAATTGACAGTGTCTATTATAAAAGACGTCTTTTAAACAAGCTTGCGGTTCTTTCAAGTCAACATATTGACTTTATCGCCACTCCTGGCTACCGTGAGGAACCCCCTCTCATCCGGATTAGCCCCAATATTGAGTTTGCTAAACCGGTCAGTAAATAGCCATCTCGGGAGCCCCGTCCATTGTCCGGAGAAGTCCGGCCAACAATGACCAAAGACAAACCCACTCAGACCGCTGGACAAACGTGGGACGGCCACGGGTGGACCGAGGCTTCGGCACGGTGCGGATTGCCGTGCGGTGGTCTGCCAAACCATGCACTATTTTGGATCACGACAAGCAACTACACTTGCTGAAGCTGAAGTTACATGTACATGTATAATCTCTTAAGACTCCAAAATAGTGTTCTTGTCCCGTTTCCCATGCAGGCATACACGTGTAAGTAAGATCTATACATTACATCGACGGATATCGCAAGGAATTTATCTTGTTTATTTGTAGACTCCGATTCGGGAGTTGAGTTTAGATAAAAAATGACTCTGCAGGGAGGCTGGCATCTTAAGCCACAAAAACAACAACTGAGGTTTAATTACTGATTGCGAGGAAGTGTCAGCTATTGCTTGTAGTGTGACACCCTCTTCATGATAATACTGGTCTTTTTGTGGAAGCAATAAAACTATCATTTCATGTGAAAGAAATACGAATATTGGAGCTTATTTATCTAACGCTTCGTTTCCTGCCCACTGGTGCTCTTCCAGACTAGAAATTTTGGCATTTTGGAAGTGCGACCTTTTGACCTTGATATCTATCAAGAAAGATTTTAGCATGCCATGACAAAACTTTCATCCTCAATCTCAGAAGACTGGGAACAGAAACTACAAAAGTACAGATGATAAACGACAACCATTCGCCTCCAATGGTAAAAAAGTAAAATCGGCAAAGTTTCCCACCATGCCGAAAGTTACCACAAATATGTTCAAAAGATGCACATTAAAAATTCATCGTAACTCGATTCAAACTATGTGGTGTCTATTTCAGCGCTGCATACATAAAAATGACCGCCATGTTTAGGGATTTACATGAGTAATACAATTCCAGGCCAGTGCACAAAAAACCAACCCGCCTCCCTTGTGGTGTCGAGTTGGCATAATTAATTGATTTCTGGGCCGACTCAAGGCTACAGTTTGCACTATGTACTTCTTGAAATGTCCAAAGAAACAGTCCAACGAATTTATTAGGAATGCGTTCAAAATGAATTTTTGAATGTAAGAAGCCACCAGTTGGACTTGTCTAAGTGACTGGAAATTTATGGAATCTGGAGAATGTTTGTGTGTTAAAGCAAATTTATGAACACAAAAGACAAAAGGAAATATCTAACCTTGTGTTTTATGAAATACATGAGATGTAATATACGCACAAATCAATCCGTCATTTCGTGAATTGATCATCAATTCATGTTTTCCTCAAAATTGGGATGATATTTATAAACAAATCAGGTACATTTGCATACTTTCCAGAAAAAATAATAAAGCATAAATGTAAATGTATGTAATTTGTTAGAGAAGTGATTCTATGTGAATCCATTAATTTTCGAAATAAAAAAGGGTGGGAAGACGTGGTTAACATGAACATGACAATGGAATTTTGTTGTATTACAAGTCATGCATTGCAAAAGCTGGTTTGCAGTTTCTGATATATTCTCCTGACACATCGAACTTTGCTGAAAAGTATACCTGAGACAAATGGAGTTGAGAACACAAAGTGAATTGTTTTTTTGTCCGATTAAAAAAACAAAATTGGTCAGCCTCAGTTGTTCGACGAAAGAGTCGAAAAGTATAGAAACCATCTCAGCATGTACACAAAAATGAGCATCAATGTCATTGCGTGTTTATACAATGCAACAGCAGTAATGTACAAATAAACGCATTGCCTTTACAAATCGATGACTGATCACAAAACATGTGGTTTTTTTTTAGTGAATCAGATGGAGTAAACCAGAAATCAAAATGGAAATATGGTGGATCCGCTTTTTCATGGGGAAAATGGTTGGAAAATTGGTAAAGAAAAGAGGAACGAGTTGGCATAAGTTACAGCCTTTGGTGTTGAATTTGATTTTAGAAACCTCTTATAATTAGGATTGTGTTCATGCCATGGATCTTGGACACAATTTTCAGAGTTAGACATGTGGTTACAGTTAGTCCCATGGAGGTAAATTCCACTGGTGTTTGGTTGTTTGCTTTATCGATTTAGATAGTTGACGAATGCCAAGGCAATTAGGCCGCAATTCATTAGAGTTATCAGAGCATAATTAGATTGTGACTTACCGTGGAGAGGTAAAATAAAAAAAGCACCGTGAATCGCAGGAAATTCAGCGGGTGGTTCGGTCCAAATGTCCCGGTAGGTTTTTGGCTGGCGATAAGCATCGACTGTTGGCGTTGTTGCACTGTATCGGAAGTAATTCCTGTAATCTACCTTCTCTTTTTTGGTGACTGCGGCCGTTATATTGTGCGGTCAGTCAATTGAGAGCGCCGAGTTAAGTCGATGTTGTATTCACTGAAGTGATCGAGTGAAGAGTGAGTGTAGTTGAAGCACACGAGTGAAGGGAGTTGGGTACAATTGTCTTGACGGAGTTGTGGTGACCGGAAGACTGACCACAAGAATGAGTTCGGCCCAATCAGTGTCCGACGGCTGCCGATGATATCGCGGGAAAAACCCTCCCTCGCTCCGAGCGTAAACACTGATGAGCCGGCCGGGGCCTGAGCTGCCAAAAGTCCCCGTGCGCTGGCTGGCGGAGACACGGTGAGCTTGGCTCAGAGTACGGAGCCTCGGGGTGCAAGCTCGCTGAAAACAGCCGACCAAACACACCAAGCTGTCTTGATTCGACTCAACCGGGATCGTCGGGAGTCTCGCCCCGTCTTCTCCCCGTGACTGACTCCCTATAAGACCCGCCCAGGTAATTTTCTCGGAGCAAAACTCGCCGTAATTAAATCGGTGTACCTTTCGGCAACGGCTGAAGGAAGGAACTTAAGACCTCTGGAAATCTAAGGGAGATTTTTTTTCTCTCTCTCCCTCTTGAGTGATGGTGACTAGCTGTCAGGGTCTCAAATTGCCAGTTGCTGTTTGGTTACAGATGTTTTAGTCTGTTTGTTGGGTTGTGGTGAAACCCGAGCGCCGCGGCTGAACTGAGGAGGCCAGTCTCTCACAAGACGTTGAAGCTTTCTCGCTCGATCGTCGGCCGACCCACCAACTAACAAACAACACAGACTTTATCTCGAGCCGGCCCGTCAATAGAGAGTCCCCGAAGAAAAAGAAGATATAAAGAAGAAAGACTACAAGGGAGTTATTGCGTACGGTCGGATGACACCGGCAGTCAGTGACCGAGTTACGGCAGTGCGTTTGTTGGCCGGCCAAATTCCAGCGGACATAGGACACGGGCTGTGCTCACTCAAGCGAAGTGAAGAAACACACGGAGGCTCTATGGTGTTACAGCGGAGTCCAGCTACGCTCCACGTCCAACAAGCACGGGATTCCACGACCACAGAAAAAAAAAATCTACAACCCCGCACTTCCAAGGAAGCAACCCTCTTTGCACTTTTCTTGTCCGGTTCAATCCATTCATAGCATTTCCCTCCTCGCTTTTGTTATTCTAAGAACACACTCTCTGACAGTAGTTTATTATGGAAAGTGTATTATAGAGATATACGGGCCCGCGGTCTTCCATGTCGCATTGGTAATGCACGCAATGACGCGGGGTACCAGACCAGTGTCACAGACCTTGCCGTGAAACAAGGGAGCTTTACGTATCAATTATTCATACCGGGGGCGGGGCTTAGACTTGTCCAACTATTCCCTAAAAATATACACAAAAGACTCCGGGAAGGCACCGCACCATCCCAGCCGAGCACCCGAGGGGGGTTCAGGCTCCAATCGCCCGCTGCCACTTCCAGCCCTGCACGCTAAAAATCCCCCTCGCATGATTTTTTTTCACCCAGAACCCTCAAGCATTTCCTGGGTTTGTCTGTCTGTTTTTATTTCTTCTTCTCTTCCAAAACTCCAACTCAAGTCAAGGTAGCTGTACTATTCCCCTACCCCCCCCCCGACACCAAAGCTACATCACGTGACTCATTAGTCCCCAGCCCTACGGGATTGCAGCGATCGACGGAGATTCGTCTTCCAGATTTTGGGGAACATATTTGAAGAGAGTCACGCAGTTATTTTTTGTTTGGTTAATGAACCAGCACAAATTCAAGGCAAGACAACACCATATCAATGAAAGGGTAACACATTATATTCTGCAAGTGATAACAAAACCAAAAACAAATCATAGTACATAAATCCTGCATTGAATCAACAAGGGACATGGAATCAACACGGGACATCAAATCCAAAAAAAATTCAAATCCAAGTTTCGTCTTGAGTAATTTCCACGGCTCCGTTGACAAATGAGGCTGCAGTTGCAATCTGCGGCCACATGAATGGGCTCGTATATGTAAAAGCTTATACATTTGTACCAACGTTTGTAGAAATGACAAGACAGAGTCTGTTTTATGCTAAGACTTCTGTTTTAGGGCACGCCCTAGTTTCAACTACCCTAGCTCCGCCCCTGATTAGCCAAACCGAGTCACGACGGAAGGAATAAAGTACATGGAAGCTTTGCTTGAGGAAGCCTGCGCAATCATTATGTGATAGAAATTGGTTCGGACAAGCGGGGATCGCAGTCGACACGCGCGGTAAGCGAAGGTGTCTGGGTGTACGTGAAGCGTGCACTGTGTGAAAGGGGAAATGGGGCATGACCGTGTAGGATTGGTTGGACATAGACCCCTGGAAACCGCCATCTTGGTTTTTCTTTACACGCAAGTCTATGCGTCCCATAACGAGGCTCGTGGGCAATATAGTCTTCATACAAAACTCATATCTAGGAAAATAGTCTGGTGTCCTGTTTCTTCATATGAAGCAATACTGTACCATGCCGACAAGGAACAAGACCATTATGTCGCACTGCGGTCCTAAAAGTCCCGACTCAGATTCGACCAAAATCCGGGTCAAAATTTGACCTGAAATTGTTCCGGGTCAATGACACTTTTCTGAGTCACAGAGCCAATTGAGCAGGAAAAAAAGTGCCATTTTGACACACAAAAAGTGTTATTTTAACCAAGAAAAGTGCCATTTTATTACACACAAAAATGACACTTATCAAGAAGAGTGTCAGTTCAACTCTGATCCGGATTCTTGGTCGAATCTGACCCGGTTTCCCCGTCGAATCTGACCCAGGACTTGTACAATATGAGTGAATACACCCGGTAAAGCCCCGTGACTAAATAATTGTACCAAAACTTTGTGGCCAGATCGTAGAATGCAAGTAGCCTTTCACACAAGTTGCTGGCAACATCTCGCCATTAGTGATCCACAGTTTCCCGATAACAGACCCTTCCCCCTCCCCTCCCCCAAACATCCCTAGATTCCTTATCTACCAATTCCGGGGTAAAAACAACAAGAGAAACCGCCTCTTTTTTTTTTTATCTGTAATAAGAAAGCTGGCGTCATTACAACAACATGGGGCAGGGGACTGGCAAGCAACACAAGGGAAATTAAGTCCCACTTTTTTCTTCTTCTCTCTCCGCATTCTGCGGGAACAGGCCGCGCCAGTATACGGGCCAATCGCGGTCTGGGCACGGCAGAGTTTCCCCCGCAGGGGCACGAAGGACCGCAGGGAAAACTCCCGATCATGCCGTCCTCCCTTCTCTCCGCTCCGGCCACAAGCTTTGGGAAGACGGTTGCCTAAATTTGATGGCCTTATTTTTTTTTCTTCACGTCTAAAGGGAGTTGAGGAAAAACTGATGTAGCTATTGATAAGAAAATTGAAGATGGGTGATGTGATAGGAATGTCGTCCTCTGAGGAATGATGAGCCTGGGACAATTTTGAGAAACAATGAATTTTGGTATAAGCAAAACTTGTGATGAAGATCGTAGCACATTTTTAAAGGAGCAACTGGGGCTATAATCTCTGATATGCTGGCAACTAAAAACGTGCATAGCTAACCGGGCCTAAAGCCGTTTCTTCCGCATCTGTACCCATAAAGGATAAAAATTCAGCAACATGACTCTTTATCAGCTATTTTTCGCAATATAGCCTGTACGATTGTTGGTTCAGTTCATATTCACAAACGGGATCCAACTCATAGAGGAAAAAAAATCAGATTTGTTTCTTAATGAGATAATTATGCCCGAGTTTGGCTCCAACTACGCAAGTGAGGTGGCGCATACCCCACTGCACGAAAATCTGTTTGAAAGCTGCGCAGCAGTTTGTGCATTTCTTTTTCTTTTGATGCAACAATATTTCTCAACAACTTACATGTGGAACAGCTCAGTGGATACTATACAATTTGGGAAAACCAAAACAAATGCACAATTTGGGGGTTTCGCTCTGGATTCCGTAACGGTTGCTATCGCGAAAGTGCTCCCACGGGCACGCTATTTCGAAACCACCTTGAAGTTCAGTGTTAGTTTTCTTCTAAATGACACCATATCAGGCGAAATAACTACGCATGGTATCTTCGCTTTGAACAACGTTTATGTAATTTAAAAAGCAGGGATTTCTTGGGTGCATGTAGGCCTAATAGAAACTTTCTAGCTGCGACCGACCAACCAACAAACGTAAAGGTACAACCGAACATACGAACAAACAAACAAACACCACCACCCTTGACTAGACACTGTCAAGTTTTTGTTCGCATGTGGTCCGGAAGGAGAGATTCCACACCCAAAGTATTACACCCCCGCTTCCCCTTCCCAAATTCCATCAAACCCCAACAAGGAACATGGAGTTTTTGCACCTTAACCGCAAAGACAAGAGGCTTTCTGTTATGTAAGCAGGCAAAATTAAGAGGACGGGTGTTCTAACGGGTTGGATTTCTCAACTTCAACTTGCCGAAGTAAAGCAATAAACATGAAAACTCCACTGAAAAATATACAAAAGGTCTCTTAATTAGATTTCACATCTAAACAGTCGATAAACAGTTTATCACACGTTATGCTTGCTAACCTGTCAATCATACCAAATAGTCTTTATTCGGCCTGCGTTAACACCTTGACTTTCGTTAAGACCATTACTGATGTTGGAACTCATTAGCATAAACATTCTTAACTTTATACCATCTTTTAACCACGTTTAGAGAAGAAACGATAGTCGCACGCGATGTTTGAAGCATACTCAACTTGATGGCCTAAACAATTCTGCTAACATAACTTCATTACATTCCGCAACATTTTGTATTGTTTTTTTTTCCTTTCGCCGACCTTTTCTAAAAACCTTGTATAGTCAGAGTCTGTATCCACTGGATTGCGAGAAAAATGTAAAATTTACGTCTCCCGACGCAAATTTCATCTTATCAAAAATCCCCCAAAAAACTAAATTATCTGAGTCATGTGTGAAAATGACATATTCTTATGTTGGTTGAAACTTTGCGTCTTTTCTTAGTCAGGGATCCCCTCATTCCTAGAATTCCAAGCAACGGTAACGTTTGATTGATGTGCGGTATAAGACCTGCTGACAAAGCGCACGCGACGATTAACGATTTGACAAATAATTTCATCCAGAAATGATTGAGATTTGTCCAGTGATTGTCCACCACAAATCGCCTCCGTAGTTGACCAAAAAGAAAATCACTTGTTGAATTGTATTATTCCTTGAATCGGAATTGAATGGAAGCAAGTGACCATCGGAAAGGTTAGACACCGGCAGCGGCCGCAGGGTGGGATTATCAAGGAGTTGGACAGTGGTCAGTTGTTAAACCCCCACTGGTCAAGCCGGTCTAATCAACGGCTGTTTTGTGAATGCTTATCAGACAATTCCTCGACGTTTCTTCATTTACATTCAAAAATATTGTTGTCCATAATTATATATGCATCATGTACTACTCTTTCTCCTGAGGCTGTTTGAAGTTTTAAAGTTTATAGAAATTAAAAGTGAACAAAATCCCGATGTTTCTTCCGACTTGTTCATTTTTTTCAAAGGACATAGTAATTCAGATATTTAATCCCAAATGACATATTAATTGCTGATATTGGTGTTATCTAGATTTCTAGTCTTGGAATTTTTTTTTAGTGAGTTGGTCGGTTTTATGCTTGGTGTACGGTCAAAAATATGGACGAGGGATACAAAGATAATACATGCAACAGCCGCCTGCTGCTCCAGACGTACTTTAATTTCCCCGAAGATGTGTCCCTGCAACAGGCAGAGCTAGTCTACAAATCAAGGTTTTATTCTGAAGGTAATTCTGTTTTGGGACCGCAAGACTCAGGGAGTAAATATCGCAAGAATCGAGACAGAATGCGAACCTTAAAAGTAAAGTACTTTAATGGCACAGTACAAGGTTAAAATTTGTCCCAATCGCTTGGATGTAAATCCTGGAGTTGTCCTTCGCACTGTATGCACGCAGAGATCTGGCCGTGTTGGCAAATTTGGCTAACTGTCTATACTCTTTGTAAGAACGGAATAAACTGCAAGCTTGACATCACTGTTAAAGGGAATGTACATCATTGGTTTTTGCTGTAATTTTCAGAAATGAACTATTTGAGGGATTTAAATAATAGATCAAATATTGTTACACTGACATGTTGGAAGTTGTGTGTTCGAAAATGAGGGAAAAACCAAGAAAAACAAAAACATTCCAGTAGTCTGGTTCCCTGACTCCACTAAAGATAAA